CCCAAACTGAAACTGAAACTCGTTCATAGGGTTAGGTTTGGTTTAGGGTTAGGTTAGGGGTTAGGGTTAGGTTAGGGTTTATGGTTAAGGTTAGGGTGCTAACATGAGATCAGTTTACAACGGATTTTAGAGGTTAGGGTTGTAGCCTCTCAATAAACACCTCTTCTCTAAAATCGGATGTAAACCGATCTCATGTTAGCAGCCTGACCCTAACCCTATGGACGAGTTTCTATACCGTATGCATTATGAATTCAGAACCTCTGAGCCTTTATCAAATCTTAACAAGTCTTTTAATCATGTAAAAGAAGAATATCCACTGTAATTCATCACTTTCTTGTAATTTATTGCTACTGTATCCTGTCTTCTGATAGGCTAATAATTGAAATTGCTCAAACGCTTCTCACTGGCTCGTCCCTAAATTAGAGTCTCGCCGAAAAGACATAAACAGAAAATCAATGTCCTGCTATGGTTAGGCTTTTACAAAATAATACAGCTTACAACTAGTTGATTACATGGTAGTTGCCAAGTTCAGGTTTGCCTGGTCACCCAGTGATTATTGGATTCTAGTGAAAAAGTCACAATTTGGTTACCAGTCTAAGTGACATGATGTCTAAAATCAATTTTTTAAAAAAAAGAATAAGTTCACTTAAACTGAAATGTAGCTTGCTATCTTGCGATGAGCTCACACAAATATGATAGATTCTTCCGTATTAATGACTTTAAGTAGTGGTTTATCTATATAGATTTACATAACGTTTATATTCTTGAACTGACTGCAACTGAAAAATTATTAAAGAACATTACATCACAAAAATCATTAAATCATAGGAGTGCTGATGTATTGCTTAACGCGTTTGTCATAAATAGATTAATCGGACTACTGTTATCAGGACCTTCATATTTGGGAGTGTAGAACTTTTTCTGATAAGATTTAATTGATATTTCTACTAGTCATTTCAAGGATAGGTAACAAACTAAACATGAACCAATATGTTTATGTCTGCCACATAATAGTAATTTAAGTTGTATTTGTTTCTTTTAGATTGTTTTTTGTGCTTTGATTGGAATCTCATGATCGTATTTGGAAATTCCCTTCGTGTCAGTCATCTTACTTTTCTTCCTAACGTGTTCTGAGTATAAGTCAATTAAAAGAAAGAAGTCTTATATGCGTTCATGGCACATCAGCCGATGAGTTTCTACAAGGACTTATAACAAATGATATCAAATCTATAAATCAACCTAATTCATTCATGTATTCATTGTTTCTCAATTCGAAGGTATATTTCATTGAATTTCCTTCCTGTCAGATAGTTTTTTTTTCATTATATATTTTAGGGTAGAGTTCTAACTGATGCATTTATCTATCATACTAATCGTTTATCGACTAATCAGTCTGATTATCTTGTTGAAGTTGACGTCAGTTGCGTACCTGATATGGTTAAACACTTAAAGCAATATAATTTACGTGGGAAAGTACGTTTCACTTCAGTGTTATTTGCTATATTTCTCATCGCTTTAATGTGATTTAAAAATCGATTGCATGAATTTTTTGATCACTTTATTTGACGTAAGTATTTATGGGCAATTATAGTGTTTAATGGTGACTTAACAGTACTTATGATTTAGAAATATTACCCAAATAGCTTATGTTTAATTTTGATTCAGATCTTCTCTACCCTGATTATGTAGCTGATCACGTCACAATGGCTTAGTGGCTGGGAAGTTCGACTTTTTGTTACTGTCCCAGATTCAAACTCCGCCCCACCTACTTTGGTTTAAGCAACTAGGCAGTTTCATAACCCCTAACACTTAGTGAGTTATTAACTTCACTTACCTCGTGTGCTTAGCCAGGCCTGATATAAAAGTAATGCTCAAAATCTATGAAAGTATAAAAATAAGCTCGTTTAGCCTTTGTTGGGTGATGCTACCTTCAGTACGAGTAAGATTCCTGTCTAATTGTCGTAGGGTGTGTGCTGTGCAGAGGTTTACTCTCTATTACTTAATGGCTGTAAAAAATAGCCTTTGGAAGTAATAGATATGTGTAAGTTGCTAGTATTTGATGATAGAATGATTGTAGAATAAACGTAACTCGATTCTTAGTATACAAATATGTACTTCTAGTTCATCTAAATACCTTGTCCCACATGTTCATTTTCTTATTTACCGTCTTAAAGTTTATTAGTGAGAACTATACATTCTGAGATACTAAGTTTCGACATACATCGACCTTCTTTATTTGACTATTCAAATGTTTAACTGTTAATTTTTTCAAAAATCCATTTTTCTCTATTGTAAATAACATTTGTCTAGGTTAAGATAGACGCCGATTTATCAGTGTATCCTTGGGTCGCTATGCCGACATCAAGACACTCGAATCAACTGAATAATTATAAAGCATGGTTACCAGTGAATTCACCTGATATTAGTGATCAACAACAGTTGATATTTTTCGCTTCAGATCCTAGGGGTATATCTGGTTGGTCTGGACGTATACTGTCAACATCTAGTACAAATGGTAATTATTTTGTTTAGATTTTATTAAAGATTAGGTTTAATGTTTTCGAATTTTTGTTGAATAGTTTTTCAGCATTTTAGAAAAACTGTATACACTTAACTACAAAAATGAACGGCCATATAAACTGACCTAGGCATCTTTAACTTTGAATGACAGCAACAATTGATTTGATTGACTTACCGATTCGCATTTATACTAGACGTGGTCATAATTTTATTTGTCATTATGTCTTGTTATTTATGGTCATGTAATGAGCTGGAATTTATCATGACCACGTTCTATCATTGCTACAAAAACATTTATTTTTGATTGATTACATCGAACATCGTCGGTGATTTATTATCCCAATGAAGATAAACATGTGGTTGTTAGAAGATTCTGACGTTTTTTTGGCTGTTTTTTTTTTAACCAAATAGAGACTTGATGTGCGAAATTCTATCAGAATTTGTTACTAGACGATGTGGCATGCAGGGATATTGTAAATAAGGAGATTCTGACTTTCATTCAAAAGTTGCTGTTATTGTGCTTCGCATATCTCTAAGTGAATTTTTTTCGTTTCGATATGCTACCTGGAGAAATTATTTCTGATCTTGAGTGTGAAGACGACATTGTTTTGGCATAGTGAACCACCTGCTTCGGTTTGGGCACCCGGGCAGTATAATAGCCCTCACACAAATCGAATAATTTGTGTGGCGCATATCTATTTAGTGTCTTCTTGTACCAATGTCTGTATGTTTAAATCAATAATGTAGTAAACTGAGGATCGAGGTGCGAAATCCAATAGAATCATTTGCTTGTGTACTCCCTTTCTGATAGTTTGTTCGAAGTGTTTGCTAAATTTGTGTAACTAGTATCGCTAGTGGCAGGTATTTGCTACAGTGATATTCAATTGCAATCAACGTTAATCTTAGGACAATTTAGACGGCATAGGTACGTAGGTTTAGTTTGAGCTTAAGTAATGTCGAAACTAAGGTCTGGTAGTCCATTCAGGGACAGCGATGATCAATTGGCGGCATCGAAACGCTCTTGTCGTGTCAATGCAGCATCTTTTAAACCAAATATTGGGTTCGGACGTTGGGACATGGATATAAATGAAGTAGTGGTTTGTTTTCGGCACGATGCGTGAAGCAAAGAAGGGTTTGTAAATCACTAAAGTAGATGATCTATGTTGAATTTTTGGGGCCCTGCTCAAGTTAGACGGGAATAGTGTGAGCAATAGCTAACTTCCAAGTCACACCTCGTGTTCAACACTTAACGTGGTTTACCCCTTCGTCGTATCAAGGTACTATTGCTGCTTTGAAGGCCGTATAACACAAAGGACGTGATTACAGAAGTATATTAGTTAGAGTAGGTACAAACAAAAGTGTGACCGCCACCGCCACGCCAGTCCATGGCGTACGATTGATTGATGCGCGTTGATTATCGTTATCTTCGACCCTAAAGGGGGTCGATGAACCGTTCGGAATTCACTGACCTAACTGTCGGATGGTTTGGCTAGGGCTCAGTGACATTTTAATGGCACTATAGGTTGTCTTGGATTTGGATTAGGTAGTCAATTGCAGTATCTCAAATGAATTCCCAGTGATCGAGCAGTTCAGTAGTCTTACAAGCTCTAAGTGGTTACTCAAAATCGAAACGATTTGCAATTTTGTTCATTTCTTGATGCCGTATCCTATCGAATTTTTTTATCTTAAAGAAACATTAAAATGTCATATCTGTTGGTGGTTTCAAATTGACCAGGATTTTATTTTCTAAATTAAATATATGGTCAGTTAATAAAGTATGGTACAAATTATTAATTTTAATCCAAATGTGTGACTTCAGTTCCTTTGTCCTCCAGCTCACATTATCATTATCAGTCGCTAAACACATTTTTAGTGAAGCTTTTCCATTGTCATTCCATTTCTTTTTCCTTATCACAAGCCACTAGTATTTTCCCATCATGCAATACACAACCACTTGATATAAACCTGTATCATAATGCACGTTGGGAATTGGGCTTACCAGAAGGTATTAAGGAATTAATCACAAGTGACACACTACCGTTCGAAGCGAATGCTGATTTATCCGGCGGAGTTAGCTTTTCCAAAGGATGTTATATTGGTCAGGAGTTGACAGCACGGACACACTTTACTGGAGTCACTCGACGAAGATATGTACCGATTAAAATAGTGTCGAGGGGGAATATTGATGTTTTAAAAACATCAAATAGTGTCAGGTGAGTTTGAACTTATCTATTTCGATATTGCACTGCTTATATTTCTTGATCTCAATACAATTACAGTTTTTAAGATGCGTTTGGTTGTCCATAAAAACCACAACCTCCCAGAATGATGACACAGTCAACTCAGGTTAAACCTGATATTGTTTTTGCTAATAAGACAGTAAACGTAAAATGTTCGTAGTGTCATCTCGTGTTTCCTTGATAAAGTTTTCTCGTCTACCTTAGTTGAGGGGTATACTTTTTGTATTTGGATAAGCAGAGATTGCACTGCTAGCCACTATCCATCTTTGCTTATGAAGCTTGTGACCTAAGGAAATATCGAGGCAGTCCGCACAGGATGCACATATGCCAATAAGAAACTGATCAGTTGCAGTCCTAAATAATAATGGGAAGATACAAGTAAAACAACATCAAGTGAATCTATAAATTATAAGTTTAAAGCCAGTTAGCTACAGGGTTTTTAGAGTAATTCTTGTGTGGAACGTTTTGCCCATACTTTAGACGTCATCCCTTTCTTGGGACAAGTTCCTATGTGAAAAGTTTCACATACTAGTCACTGTCATCAGTTCTGCCATCTGGACGTCTTTGACCAAAGTATTCTATAGCACCGACCTTAGACGTTTAAGCTAATCGGAAAACATTGGTAACAATTTGTAGTACAAAAATGACTAAATTACATGGAGCAACGTAAGAAGATGCATTCCCATGGTAGCCGGTCATCAACAATTGGTTCATACGCCATTTGTTCTTTCAGGATACTGGAGCCCATGTGCACCATTGGTTTGGAATCAGGGTTTTTTCAACTCCTCTAAGTGAACTCTCCATGTCTACCAACCTGGTTATAGCGCCGGATATTCGCTTTTCATCTTCTCATTTTCGTAAACAATACCCCCCTCCACAAGAAGGCAGTGAATAGGACTTCCCTGGCAGAGGCTATATACACGTGACCATATGAGAGCATTTGAAGAGGCAGAGCGGACTCTCCGTACTCAAAGCCGTACCAGGGCATTCACTTATATATCTATCGACATCACTAGTAGCGCATACACTACAATATCAATTAGTGATAAAAAGTTATACTCTACACTTTATTTTAGTTTTATAATGATGAATATACACAAATGAAAAGGATTATTCATTTCAACTTTTTCTTTCTTTCTTTTCATTGAAAATATTTCTATAGTCATTTATACAATGCACCAATTTATCAAATGAATAAAAATGATAAAACATTTGAATTATCAAAATTAAAATTAATTGGATGGATTAGAAATGTAAATATGAATAATTTTATTATGATGAATAATAATGATCATAATGAGAATCATTTAAATATTGATAATGAATTAATCAGTGGTATAGCATTGATACGTTTAACTGATGTCAATGAACAACAATATAAACTAGTAGTAAATATCCCGATTCATACTGATTGTAATCATCATCATAATACTAATAATGTAATACAATTAGATATTATTCCATATATACCATCATGGTGGCCTGAGGATATAGCCCCAACAATTAAACGAATTGTATGTACATAAATCCGTTGTGTTTTCCTATTCCATTAGATGTTATATAATCTTATTTTTAAATATAAAAACAAACTATACTATGATGTTTTTGTTTAATAAGAAATTAGTTGACTGATAATGATTGATCATTTAAAGTGAGACTATAATTTCTGGATGAATGAATGAGATATAAGATAACAGATCTTGGATTTTGGCGCGAAATTCACTCATTCATCTGACCAAGTAGGGACATTATAACTGATATCAGTTCGTGATGAAAACTCTAAATTGAATTCCTAACTTCTAACCATCAACTGTGAATCATAATTCGAATTCCTTACACTGGTTTATAACCTTCATTTGGTCCTAGTTATTAGGTGAACACTCCCAAGGTCAGTTTAGTGTCACTCATAGGTCGTCCATAAATTATAGTCTCACTGATCATTTTCATGTTTGTTGTAACATTATTCACCAAAATGAAAGGCATCACTAATAGGAGAAATTCGTTATCTTTGAATTAAGGTACCTGTTTTTGTAATAAATGTATATTAGGCTCAAGTTGACATACTTTACTTGACATCGACTGGGAACTAATATAGTATGCCTGTAGTGAACGAGAACATAAGTGTGGACAATCGAATATACTAGAACACAACATTACAGAACATCTTAGTAAAATCTGAGAACTATATAGTGAACACATACATACTCCACCATCTCATCTACCAACATGGCTCAGACTAGAAGCTAGTGACTTAAAGGACTGATGCGACGTTTTGGTTTGACCGCCCCTAACTTTCTTCCAACTATCCCTAACACTGGTCAGTATTGCGCGTCGTGATAATCGGTGTTCAAGCATACGTAACACGTGGTCCAACCATCTCAGTCGATGAACATTTACAACCTCATCAACTGATTTACCATCATTCCCTAATACCATGTGTCTTACCTCACTATTACTTACGCGGTGATTCCGTGAGATGCGAGTAATATTTCTGAGACATCTGTGATCAATTACTAGTAGCTTGCGAGTATCTCCTACTCTTAATGGCCATTTTTCGCAACTGTAAAGTAGAACAGAACAAACTGCTGCTCAGTATACTCATCTTTTTATTGATAGACCGATATCTCGCGGATTCCATAGTGTAAAGTGCGTTAAAATTCAGGATGCTTTTAAAATAAATGGCTTATACATAATCCAAATAAAAATGGTTTGGTCATCAAACTGTACATTTCAATAATAAAATTTTTATTATGTTTTGGAATTTAGTCACACTTGTTCTAAGTGGTACAATAATCTGGATATCTGTGATCAATCGAGTTAAATGAGACTAAAACTTATAGTGTAAAGCTTGTGAATTAAGTGCTCAAATCGTTGATTAATTTCACTATAGTCAATCACTTCGATTAACGTAGAGTTTGACGCAACTATTCGTTGGCGCATATCGTCATACATACCACATTAGTATAAAGAGATGAATTTAATAAAATCAATAACAGAAAAGAGATCAAAATAATAATTTAGGAGACTAAAAATTGGGAGTATGTTCGAAAAACAGCATTAAAGTACATATGAAGGAGTAATAGAATTCATGATTGAGAGGAAGATCAAGGGTGATAACAGTATAAACATGTAGAGTACACTATGATTTCTAAAATTTACAAAGTTAAATTGAACTTTGAAGAAACTTTATGAAAAGTTCATGTCGATGTCTTAAAAAAAATAAGCTATATTGCTTAGCAGAGCTGAAGGTCTCATATGAGTTTGGAGGTTCGATATTGATATTGTGGATGGTTCGGCATTACTTGGGCAAGTTTTGCTAACTGTTCATGCACAAAATCGGTTTTCTGGTTAGCCGATTTCATTCATACTGGTGGTTGCTTTTCAGGGTTTTCAAGTGCCATTGTCATTGGAACATTGTAAGACATGTCGCCATTGCTAACATGAATGAGTTTGACTGTAAAAACGGAATAGGTCAACTTTGGCCTGTTCGTGATGTGCATAACTGATTCACACGATCATTGATCGGAATAACTATACATGTGATGTGAATGTGTATACGAATGGTCCATCGGGTGCTTGGTACCTGTGTCGTTGCGCCCCAGGATTAAACTGTACTATTCAGATTGTAGCGTTAAAGCCTATACGGTGTCTGGTTCTCCTGTGAAGCGGGATTGAGCTGTACTGCTCGGGTTATAAAGTTTAAGCCTGGGTGGTGTCTGGCTCTCCTGTTGAAAGGGATTGAGCTGTACTGTTGGGGTTGTCACGTGAAAGTCCGTATGGTGTCCGGTTCTCCTGGAAACAAATGTAAAATTACCCTGGCCCACAACGGCATATTATATATAACTAACTCTTAAGAAATGTGTTTGCAAATTGCAGTACAATGAATCTAGTTTTCGAAGTTGAAAGAAATCGATTCAAGGTAGAAATGCAAATTAAGAGACTTTTAATTTACCTGTCTATTATTCTGCCAACTAACCTTTGCACTAGTTTAATACAATTTATATTGAGAAGATCAAATTAAGTAACTTATGTGGTTAGTTGAGTATTCTTCATTAATATAACAAAACACTCAGTGATCAAGGTAGAATTCGAACTCAGTTGCTAATCTAACTTTGAGTGTCATTCAACAGAAAGCCTTGTTTGCAACCCGTAACTGCTATTATGGTCTTATATCTCAGCTTCCTTCCTAACTTAATTCAATAACCTATATCAATAAAGGGTCTTACTGATCCAAGGTATTACGAAATCCCACTAATTGTTTATGTGTAATTTAAAGTTCTCCGTATATTTAGGAATATTTTATTTTGCTGAAAATGATGCGTTACCTGTTACTTATATGACAATTGGTTTCACTTAAATCGACAGTTTTCATCGACCGGATGTGTTTAGATTTAATACAAACTTCCTTATATGAATAAGGATATATTCACAGAAGAATATTAACCAGGTAATGGTCCTTTTATTGTCCGATTTGAGCTTATCAATAGGTCCCTGCTTTCTTATCAACCCTGTCTTTTATTACTAGGTGGACAAGAGAGTAAAAAAATTCTGTATGTGAAGAAGGTAACCTGTTAATTTTGTCCTAGTGTGATCTGCCGTCTAACAAACTTAGGAACAAACAGTTGTTTTATTCGAAGAAGTAGGTTGTCCGATTGAAACTTGGATTTGACATTTTCAATATGATGGCGATAAGCTTATAAGGTCACATTAGTCCGTTTCTATGAAACACTCTAAATGTTGTTCTGTCACACTGACAATGTACTAGTGAAGCGTGTTGAACTAAACGAAGTGCTTTCAATTAGTTATATACCACTCAGCGGTCGATAAGAAGTTAGTCTATCTTTGTTGTCTGGTCGTCAACTATACATATCAATAATGGATTGGGGTGATACAAATTATTACAATTAGTCCTACTATAGGTCTTTACGTTTTCCAAAAAAACACACTTATTGCATATTAGATGGTGGTTGGAGGTAGTCAACAGGAAACCCTGGACCCGGCACTCGTCAGCAAGGTGTACCTGTAATCTTGAGGGAACTGGTGCTCCCTGGCGGATTCATCTCGTGTCACCCAGCTTCACAGTCAGAGACGTTACCACTGAGCTATCCGAGCCGTGACTAACCTCCTGTAGGACTGAGATGTAATCACAATTGATTGATCACTGGGTGGTGATCAATCTCATGCTTGTCTAGTCCTTATTAGTGCAGATCGAATGCTATCGATCATGTTGCAATGTGGCCACCAGTCTAGGTGACTCGACACTATGTATTGAGATTAGATGGTGGTTGGAGGTAGTCAACAGGAAACGCTGGACCCGGGTTTCGTGCTACTTGGCACTCGTCAGCATATACGAATATTCCATTTTTCTGTAAGTCACAACAGTACTCAATACATTTCTAAATGATTAGAAGACAACGCAATACTCTCTAATCTGTTTACAACTCGCATATCTAACAATAGAATTCGAAAGAAGTATTTCTTCTTCTTTGTGGACATTAATCACATAGGAATAGATCGTTGTCAATATAGGGCCTATAACCTGTAACATTCATCGTTCCATTATCAATATTAATACATAAGGTAAAACAACTAGATTTATATGGTATCAATCATAACTATATAAACAATACTCTCTTTTTTCTTTCTTTTTTAAATAATCAAATGAAAACGATATCTTTATAAATGTAAAATATGATACAATACAATGTGTAATTCATATGAATCAATGTTTGTTTTAACCTATTGACATATTACATAGAAGATTGTATAATATGTTATTAATTTGGTAATATATTTGAAAGATTATGATGTTTAACTTGCCTGTTCATCTGATGTATTTGTATTGTACTTGTAATCTGTAGATAAAGTTTAATAATGAAAGAAAGAAGCATTGAGATATTGAGAAATACAAGGAATATACATATACAATATAATATACATACTTATGCATTAAGTGATATATACCATTCAACATTCTAAACACATTTGTTTAGTTTTTGATGGATTTTCGTTCTCTGAGCTGGATGGTTTGGTCGTGGAGCTTTCATCGTTCTTCTGGACGACATCATCAGCACAAACTTCAGATAGAAGTGAAGTGTTCGAATTTCTCCATATGCGTTTCACAGCTTGTTCTGTACACCTCGATGTTGATTGGTTCTTATTGACCTCAAATTTGTCATTGTTTACTTTACTTATCAAATTCTCAACTACTATAGCAACAACCCAAGAGCTCACAAAATCAACTGCGTACACACTTTGTTCAAGAGGGCGATGACACAATGCAGCACACTGGCAGCTCGAAAAATGATGAGCAATACCTGAAGGACGTATTTCAAAAGAACGGCTACTCAGTCAACTTCGTCAAAAAATGCCAACCGCGCGCAGCATCAGAACCCAAGTCAAGCACAGAAATCAACAAAAGGATCGCCCTACCATACATAAAAGGCATATTAGAACCGCAATGAGACTGCTGGAAACCTTCAGGATAGGTGTGGCACACAAACTGACAAAATCACTACAATCAATC